CCCCCCCATTATTCCCGCCGGGATAACGCTCCGCACCTCGCACCTCGCTCCCGCCGCAGCCCCGGGCCTGGCTCGGCCCCGCAGCCCCGCGGGGTCCCGCAGCGCTTCTGCTGCACCGGGGCAGAGCCCCGAGCCCCGCACCGCCTGTCCCCCCGGAGCCCCGGCCACGCTTCGCTCGGGGGGGGCTTCAGAACTAACAGGGGGACCGATGGGCCCGGGTTGGGACGTGCCCGCTCGGTCATCCCGCTGCAAACAGGAGGATTTCAGGACGGGCAAGGCCGGCAATCCCACCTGCCTCCCACCGTTCCCTTTCGGATCTGTGTTTGCTGCAGGGAGCTGCGGTGACATGGGGCTGGAGGGGACAGGGGCTGCCAGCCCTGCAGCCCAGGAGTGGGGTGGGGTGTTCACAGGGGTCCCGGCCCTTCCCGGGCTGCACCGGGGCCGGCGGGGAGTGCTCGGGCACCGCAGCCTTGCTCCACACACGCTCTGAAGGGGTCCCGGGGGCAAACACCATCCACGGCGACAAAGCCACGGCCATCCCGAGCCTGCTCGGGGTACGTGTGTTGGGCACAACCACCCACTGCCTCGAGAGGCTCCGGGTCAGACCCCCCAGAGAGCCCAGAGCTGCCCCCACAGCCAGTGCATGCTCCTCCTGCACCTCATTCCCCGTACCCACAGTCCAACACCAGCACTCTGTACTGCTTCCCTCAAGGTCTCGGAGCAGCTGGCAAAGCCCAAGGCTGTAAATCACCACCTCATATCTCACTGGCGAAGCTGCCGTGCCCAGCTGAGGGAGGGAACTCAGTGAATGCAAGTGAAGAGAGCACAGAAGAGAGAATAGAGTTGTTTATGCTCAGCAACTGGAGGGTGCAAAGATAATCATCAGTGCTTCCTCTTCAGCACTGAGACACCAAAGTCTGCTGAAGTCCAGACATTACCACCCCACGTGGCTTTGCTCACAAGCCAGAGGCTTCTGCCACCATAACAAGACTTTCTGGGTCACCAGCTGTGTGGTCCTTCCAGAAAAGAATTGTGTGCCAACCTGAGGAATGTTGGCAGCAGCCTCCAAGAACATATCTCTCACCTGTAGGCAGGTCATGTCCACAGGAAGGCCTGGTCTTCATCTGATTTG